CGACCTCACGGAAAAGGGGAGGGGCGATCACGCCTGTCACCAAACAAGAAAACTGAGGCGTGGGGCGTGGCTTGATTCCTGGGGGCAGCCGTGTGACTGATTTACTGGATAACAGACATTAACGCCATCTGCGTCTGTCCTACCCACGACAGCTCACGTGCGGCTGGGGGAAGGAGTGGCTTGTCTGAGGTAACAGCTGGGTTAGCGCCGGGTCTCTCCCGCCCCCACCTCCCAGGCTGCCTGAGGGTGAGGCTGAGCCCAGGAGGGTTTGTTGAGGGAACACTGGAAGGTGAAATGGGGTTGCGGCCAGGCATCTGGGTCCAGTCCCTATCTTGCGAGGGTGCCCTGGAGGCTTTCCCGACTCAGGGAGGGGCGGGGACAAGTTGGGGTTTGAATCTCGGCTCCGGGTGGTGTGGTCTGTGGCCTGGGACAAATCAACTGCCTCATTGAGCCTCCTTTCCTTGCCTGCAAAATGGAGAGAATTTGAGGACCCCAAGTTCCTGCTGATCTCAGCCCGCCACAGTGGGGGTGCCTGAAAACAGGGTCTGAGACGAGAATGGAAGGCGGCTGGGCCTGGAGGGCAGAGTGCTATGAATGAGTGGATGGATAAATAAATGAAGTGCATTTAGACCCCTCTCCAGCATACAAATCTCTAAAATCTGGTGCTTTTCAACATTCCCCTGCAGCATAACCCCAGCAGCTCTCTCTGGCACTGAGCCTCACCCAGCTCTGTGTCCTCTGCCCCCACCACTCTCTCTGATCTCACAACCAGCTACACGGGCCACCCTTCTGTCTCCTGAATATCCTATGCTCCATAAGCCACAGGGCCTTTGCACGTGCCATTCCTGCCACCCAGAATGCTGCCTCTGTGTCATTCCTGTAGGGAAACACTCACAGATTTCCTGGGGCCTCTAAGATCAGCACTCTCCTTTTCACAGTTCTCATTGTACACTTAGTGGTGTGATTCACTGATTAACGTCACTTGACTGTGAGCTCCATGTGGCCAGGCTGGCCGTGGTCACAGCAGATAAGAGGGCTGATGCAGGCTTGTTAAAAAATGTTACGATGGGTGGTGGGTAGGTGGGTGGATGGATGGATGGATGGATGGATGGATGGATGGATGGATGGAAAGATGGATGGGAGGATGGATGGTTGAATCAATAAATGGAATGAATGATGGATGGATAGATGGTTGTTAGACTGATAGATGGAATGATGGATGAATGGTTGGGTGGATAAATGAATAGATGGAAGGATGGGTGGATGGATGGGTGGGTGGGTGAGTAAATGACATGAATGATGGTTAGATGGATGGATATATGGTTGTTAGACTGATAGATGAATTACTAGGTGGATGGATGATTGTTAGAGTGATGGATGGGTTGGCAGGTGGAATGATGAATGAATGGGTGGGTAGCTGAATGGATGAATGGACGGATGTGTGGCTGGATTGGTAGGTAGAATGATGAGTGAGTGTCGGATGGACAGGTGGATGGATGGCTCTTAGCCTCCAGGTCTGTGAAACTGATGCACCCAAGCCCCCTTCTGGCTCTGCTTTTCTGATGACTTCACCCCTAGTTAAGAACAGACCAGAGGGGCTGCTGCTCCCCACACCCTGATGACAGGTGCTCCAGGGCATGGGGTGGGGCCTGCTGACTGCAAAGACTGCATAGCTCCAGCCCAAAAATCCAGACCCCAGGCAGCCTCTGCCCTTGACCCTGGGGGATGTGTGACCCAGGCAGGGACGTGGGGAGGGTGGGGGACCTCTTGGGGAGATGCACCATGTTTGTGGGAGGATCCAGAGGAGGGCCCTGGGGGAAAACAGAGTCTTGGGGAGAGGGGAGAATCCAGAATTAATGTGGGGGAAGGTCTAAAGAATAGAAGTTGGGGTGCTTGAGACTGAAGCTGAGGGATGCAAGGGGAGAGGGGGCATGGAGGGAGAGCGGGGGTCTCAGAAGACTGGTGATGTCTCAAGAAAACAGACGGCTGGGAAGTTGGCTCGCATTTCGGAGAGAAGTGAGGAGCGTCTTTGCCATATATATTTGGGGTATCTGTGAAAGAGAGGTTTGTAGCATTGGGAGATAAACCAGGGTGTTTCCAAAGAGAAGTTGGGAATATATTTGACAGAGAAGTTGGACTGTGCTTTGTCTTGGGATAAAAAGTAGGGGCGTCTGAGAGAGATGTTGGGGGGCCCTGGGGAGACTGGGATCATCCCCCACACACCCCACAACATGGGCACACCCCCAGGTTCAGCTCCCTCTTCTCTGACTCTAGGCCCTCAGCCCCTCCTCTACCTTCTCCAGCCCTTGGGAGGCCAAATCTGGGAGCCCGGCTTCACGCCCAAGCCTCCTCCTTAGCTTCTGCCTGGTGGGCTCAGCCCACCACACTTGCGAGTCCCCTTATGTGCAGGCGGGCTCCAGCTCCTCATGGTAATTCCCAGGTTTAATTACAAACAGAATCCAAATGTCCAGTCCAGGGCAGCAGCTGGGAGGACAGGAAAGCTGGTGGGCACGCCAGGCCAGGCAGCCACAACCTCTTCTTCATCCACGTGGGCAGGGGCACACCATTGCCCCCCGTCAACTGTCCTGGAGCCCCCTATCATCCCAGGGCAACCTCAAGGCTGCCCCCACTGTAATGTCAGCAGTGTGCCCAGCCTGAGAACCCCAAAGCACCTTAATTCTCCCCCAAGAAGGCAACACTGTACTCAATTTTCAGGAGGAGAAACTGAGCCAGCCAAGGGAGGAAGCCATGGGGCCCCTCACTTTCTCAGGAGAAAAACGAAGTCCAGCCCCAGGGAAGGAGACATGCTGCCTCCCGGACCCATTAGGGGCCCTGGACATGTCTGGCTTCCAAGGCCAGGTCTCAATACAAAGGGCTGCTTTTCAATATATTCTTAAAGGCGAGAAGAGGTTCCGTCTTTGGTATATATAGCCTCACTCCAGGCAAAGGGTGGAGGCCAGCTGACCCTGGCCTCCAAGGCCAGCAGAGGAGGGTGATTCCAGATGCTCATGCGGGAGGAAGGAGAGAGAGCGGCAGTTCTGGCCTGAGCGGGTCCAACAGGCTGAGAGCTCGTAAGGCCACAGGGGGCTCTGGGAACAGGGTAGGAGCCACAAGACCCACCACCTGGGGGAGAGAGGGAAGCAGATGTCAGGGGTCAACTAAGACAGTCACTCCAATCCCAGAACAGCCTGAGCTCAAGGTCCAGATTCCTGACAAGCCATGCCCTGTGCTTCTGCCTCAATGGAACAAATGGGCTTCACTCCTGGTGAGCTCCGGCCTCGGTTATATGGCACAGGCCCCAGGGTCCTGCTGTGTGACCCACGACAGCACTTCAGCCTCTCTGGGCCATCTCCCAGGCACAAAGCAAAAATGCTGATAACAACGCCTTCACAGGGCCTGGGGCCCAGAAAGGGCCTTTTGTAGCTACTATTACTGCCATCAGCATTATTGGTTTGGCCACAAACCTCTTTGGAAACTGAAGAAATCAGGAACCTCTGGCAGGTGAGGAACCCACGGGCCCACAGTGATGCAGATGGTTTTGGGGATTTCACAGGACCTCCCATCCCGAAGCCAACCCCCTAGGCCCGGAACCCCCCTCTGCCGGCAGCCCAAGGCCTAGACAGGGGAGGGAAGAGGCTGCGGTGGCAGGGTGGGTGGGGGGAGGGTGATGCCCAGGAAGGAGGAAGTAGAAGGCGACCGTTGTCATGGAGATCAGAGAGCAGCTCAACCTGGCCCAGAAGCTCCTCTCCTGCTCAGCTCTTCAGGGAAATTCTGCCAGCTCCTGGCCTCCCACATCCCTGAGTCTTCCCCTACTCCCCAGTATCTGCCCTTGCCGCCCCACCTTCCTCCCAGCTCAGTCTCATCCTTTCCTGCCTGGACACCTAGCTGCACTCCTTGCCCAGCCCTGCTCTCTAACCAGAGAGATCCCGCAGCACCAGACCTGCCTGTCCCTCCCCATCCTCAGCTCCTAGCCCAGCTGCCTGGCATCTCATCTTGCCTACCTCACAGCCACACCAGCCCCTGCTGGCCCCGTGCCACACTGCTCCCTCCACCAAGGACACCCCACTGCCTCCACCCTGCCAGCCACAGTCCCAAGGTTCCTCCAGGGTGGCCAAATGCCCAGTCCTCCTAGAAGAAAGCCAGAGCACTCGGCAGGGGCCCCCAAAATCCTGTTTATCATAGAGTTAAATATGGAGTTACCATGCAACCCAGCAATTCCACTCCTAGATATACACCCTAAAGAAATCAGAATGTACATCCACAGAAGAAGTTGTACATGAATGTCCACAGCAGCACTATTCACAACAGCCAAAAAGTGGGAGCAACCCAAGTGTCCATCAGCAGATGAATGGATAAACATTGTAGTCCATGTACTATTATTCAACCATAAAGAGAAATCATGCTTGGTAAAGTGGAGGGTCAGCGAAAAAGAGGAAGACCCTCAACGAGATGGGTTGACAATGGCTGCGACAATGGGCTCAAGCGTAACAACTATGGTGAGGACGGCGCAGGCCCGAGCAGCGTTTCGTTCTGTTGTACGCGGGGTCACTGAGTCGGAACCAACTCCACAGCACCTAGCAACAACAACAAAGCGAAGTGAAGCTCTGATACATGCTCCAAAGTGGATGGACCTTAAAAGCATCACGTTCAGTGAGAGAAACCCGAGACAGAAGGTCACAAATGGAATCATTCCATTTATATAAAATTTCCAGAAACGGCAAATCCATAGAGACAGAAAGCGAACTAGTGGTTGCAGGAGCCGGGGGAAGGGTAATGAATGGAGAGAGACTGCTGTTGGGTGAGGTGTCTCCTTTCTAGGTGATGGAATGTTCTGGAACCAGAGAGAGGTGCTTGCTGCACAACCCTGTTAACGTACTGAAAACTACTGAGCTGTACACCCTACGCAGTGAATTGTACGTACATGGATTGGGTCTCAATGTTTTTTTACTGAGAGAGAAACCTGGCTAGTGGGCAGTGGCCCCAGTACCCACCTGAAGACGCCTGGCTCAGGGCTCCCTCTTGACCACGCCACGCAGGTGCAGCTCACTCTCGGCCGCCACGATGGGCTGCCCGTTCTGCAGGTGGTAGTCGATCAGGTGGCTGATGCTCTCAAACAGCACATCCTTTGTCCGCACCTGTGGGGCCGGAGGCAGCAGCGTCAGCACTCCGGAACCTGTCAGGGGCAGGTACACGGCCCCACCCAGCCATGCTGAGTGGAGTCCGTGTCTTAACAAGCCATCAGGTGATCCTGAGGCTCGCTGGAGGCTGAGGACCCCTGACCAGAGAATGCCAGGATTTTGGCCACAGATCAGCCTCAGAATCTCAGAGCTCTGAGCAACAACTGGTAGTGGACTGAGTGATGGCCCCCAAAGTATGTCACATCCTAACCCCTGGAACTTGCGAATGTAACCTCATTGGAAACAGGATCTTTGCAGATGTGATTAAGTGAAGGATCTGGAGATGAGGAGATCATCCTGGATTAGCCGGGTGGGTCCTAATTCCAACAACAAGTGTCCTCATAAGAAGGGGAGAGGAGAGAGACAGAGAGACGGCAGCCACATGAAGAAGGAGACAGAGACTGGAGTGATGCTGCCTCAAACCAAGGAACACCAAGGACCCCAGCCACCACCAGAAGCTAGGAGATGGGCAAGTGACAGGCTCTCCCCTAGAGCCTCCAGAGGAAGCCTGGCCCTGCTGACACCTTGACTTCAGACTTCTGGCCTCCATTATTGGAGAGGACAGATCTCTGCTGTTGTAAGTCACCCACTTTGTGGTGACTTCATATAGCAGCCCCAGGAGACGAGTCACCGTGCAATCTTGGAGACACAGACCTGAACACTAGAATCTAGAATCTGAAAAACATTCACATCTTAGAATGAGAAAAATCTCAGCATCACCAAGTGCTGGGGGCGGTGGACAAAAAACTGAAGGGCCCTCACGTGCATGGTCTGCACTTTTCATGGATCAGCCTGGTCTCACTGGGCACAGAGTGCCCAGGAACAGGCAAAGATGCACATCTCCTGGCTCCATGGCATAATCATGTGCTCAATGGCACTGGGGACAAGACCTGGGAATATGCATTTAACAGTTTGTCATACTGTGGTGGCTTTCATGTTGTTGTGATGCTGGAAGCTATGCCATGGTATTTCAAATACCAGCAGGGTCAACCGTGATGGACAGGTTTCAACAGAGCTTCCAGACTAAGACAGACTAGGAAGAAGGACCTAATGGTCTACTTCTAAAAAAAATTGGCCATTGAAAACCTTATGAATAGCAACAGAACACTGTCTGATGTAGTGCCAGAAGACGAGCCCCTCAGGTTGGAAGGCACTCAAAAGACACCTGGGGAAGAGCTGCCTCCTCAAAGTAGAGTCGACCTTAATGACGTGGATGGAGTCAAGTTTTCGGGACCTTCATTTGCTGATGTAGCACAACGCAAAATAAAAAGAAACAGCTGCAAACATCCACTAGTAATCAGAACGTAGAATGTACAAAGTATGAATCTAGGAAAATTGGAAGTCATCAAAAACGAACTGGAACAAATAAACATCAATATACTAGGCATTAGCAAGCTGAAACGGACTGGTATTGGCCATTTTGAATCGGACAATCATATGGTCTACTCTTCACGACAAATTGAAGATGAACAGTGTCACATTCATCGTCAAAAAGAACGTTTCAAGATCTATCGTGAAGTACAACGCTGTCAGTGATACGATACTATCCCAATGTCTATAAGGAAGACAAGTTAATACGACTATTATGATAATGCCAAAAAAGAGGAAATGGAAGATTTTTACCAACTTCTGCAGTTTAAATTGATCAAACATGCAATCAGGATGCATTGATCATTACTGGTTTTGGAATGGGAAAGTTGGAAACAAAGAAGAAGGATCGGTAGTTGGAAAATATGGCCTTGGTAACAGAAACAACACCAGAGATGGCATGACAGAAGTCTGCAAGACCAACGACTACTTTATTGCAAATACCTTTTTTCACCAACATAAGCGGCGACAATACTTGTGAATATTACTGGATGGACTACACATGTTGATATTACCAGATGGAATACACAGGAATCAAACCGACTACATCTGTAAAAAGAGACGATGGAAAAGCTCAGTATCCTCAGTCAGAATAAGGCCAGGAGCCGACTGCCGAACAGACCATCAATTGCTCATATGCAAGTTCAAGTTGATGCTGAAGAAAATTAGAACAAGTCCACAAGAGCAAAAATACAACCTTGAGTATATCCCACATGAATTTAGAGACCATCTCAAGAATAGATTTGACACATGAACACTAATGATCAAAGACCAGATGAGCTGTGGAATGACATCAAGGACATCGTACGTGAAGAAAGCAAAAGTCATTAAAAAGACAAGAAAGAAAGACCAAAATGGATGTCAGAAGAGATTCTGAAACTCGCTCTTGAACGTAGAGCAGCTAAAGCGAATGGAAGAAATGATGAAGTAAAAGAGCTGAACAGAAGATTTCAAAGGGCGGCTCAAGACAACAAAATGAAGTATTATAATAAAATGTGCAAAGACTTGGAGTTAGACAACCAAAAGGGAAAAACACGCTTGGAATTTTTCAAGCTGAAAAACTAAAGAAAAAATTCAAGCCTCAAGTTTCAATGTTGAAGTACTCTACGGGTGAACTATTGAACAGTACAGGAAACATCAAAAGAAAATGGAAGGAATACACAGAGTCACTTTACCTAAAAGAATTGGTCAACGTTCAACCATTCCAGGAGGTAGCATATAATCAAGAACCAATGGTACTGAAGGAAGAAGTCCAAGCTGCACCGAAGGTACTCGTAGAAAACCAGGCAATAGGAATTGACAGAATACTGACTGAGATGTTTTGACAAATGGATGCAACGCTGGAAATGCTCATTTGTCTATGCCAAGAAATTCGGAAGACAGCTCCATGGCCAACAATATTTGTGGTCATTCCAAAGAAAGGTGATCCAACAGAATGCAGAAATTATCTAACAATATCATTAATATCACATCCAAGTAAAATTTTGCTGAAGATAATTCAAAAGTGGTTGCAGCAGTACATGGAGAGAGAACTGCCAGAAATTCAAGCCGGATTCAGAACAGGATGTGGAACAAGGGATATCATTGCTGATGTCAGACGGATCCTGGCCGAAAGCAGAGAATACCAGAAAGATTTTTACCTGTGTTTTACTGACTACATAAAGGCATTGGACTGTGTGGATCATAACAAATTATGGATAATATTGTGAAGAATGGGAATTTCAGAACACTTAATTGTGCTCATGAGGAACCTGTACATAGACCAAGAGGCAGTAGTTCGAACAGAACAAGGGGCTACTGCGTAGTTTAAAGTCAGGAAAGGTGTGTGTCAGGGTTGTAGCCTTTCACCATACTTATTCAATCTGTGTGCTAAACAGATAATCTGAGAAGCTGGACTATATGAAGAAGAATGTGGCCTCAGGATTGGAGGAAAACTCATTCACAACTTTCTGTATGCAGATGACACAACCTTACTTGCTGAAAGCGAAGAGGACTTGAAGCACTTACTGATGAAGATCAAAGACTATAGCCTTCAGTATGGAGTACACCTCAACATAAAGAAAACAGAAATCCTCACAACTGGACCAATAAGCAACATCATAATAAATGAAGAAAATATTGAAGTTAAAGATTTCATTTTATTTGGACCCACAATCAGTGTCCATGGAGACAACAGTCAAGAAATCAAACGATGTGTTACATTGGGCAAATCTGCTGCAAAAGACCTCTTTAAGGTGTTGAAGAGCTAAGATGTCACTTTGAGGACTAAGGTGTGCCTGACCCAAGCCATAATATTTTCAGTTGCCTCATATGCATGCGAAAGCTGGACAATGAATAAGGAGGACCGAGGAATTAATGCCTTTGAATTATGGTGTTGGCAAAGAATACTGGACTGCCAGAAGAAGGAACACATCTGCCTTGGAAGAAGTACAGCCAGAACGCTACTTACAAGCAAGGATGGCAAGACTTCGTCTCACGTACTTTGGATATGTTATCAGGAGGGACCAGTCCCTGGAGAAGGACATCATGCTTGGTAAAGTAGAGGGTCAGCGAAAAAGAGGAAGACCCTCAACAAGATGGATTGACACAGTGACTGCAACAATGGGCTCAAGCATAACAACGACTGTGAGGATGGCACAGGACCGAGCCGTGTTTCATTCTGTTGCACACAGGGTCTCTGTGAGTTGGAAATGACTCGATGGAACCTAACAGCAACCTAACAACATGCAAGGAGATTCAGAAGCTTCTCCAGGTTTAGGATCTTCTGACCTCATCCCTGTGACCTGGCAGTGAGGGGGCGCCAGGTCACCCTGTCTCTTGCAGCTGTGTGATCCAGGAAAGTTGTACAACCTCCCTCAGTCTAAGCGAGCTCCCCCACACAGAGACCAAGACAAGGAACGCTTAGCCCTTACCTAAGGATTCTTCTGAGGATTAACCTGGGTGGCACCAGATCACGAAAGTGTTTGTAGACTCTGAGAAGGCTCTTAACCCTCCAGCACCTTTTTACCTGGGAAATAACCTGCAAGTCTAAGGCCCTTGGACGCTGGAAAATGCTTCATAAACTCTAAAACTCCTTGCAAACAGGAAAATGCTCCCCAAACCCCAAAGCTCCTTGTAAATTGGACAACGCTTAGTAAACCCTAAAATGCTTTAGAATCTGGAGAATAGTAATCTTCAAGGACTGGAAGACACCAGCAACTGTAAGACGCATCATTAATTTATGTACCACAAGGAAAGAGGGAAAAACTTTCCAATTAAATAATGATGCAGTTCAAAGAAGCAATCGATGATAAAAAGAAATCCAGATTTCAGAGATGCCAAAATAAAAAAAAAAGTGTATATTATAATTGAAACAATTCAGTAGTAACTTGTAGACTCTAGAAGTCCTTGCCAATTGAAACATACTTTGTAACCTCCAAAATATATTAGAAACTGAAATACCATATTCATCACTCAAAGGCATCATTATTTGTAAGACTCTGTCAGTGATGGTAAAATGTGAAAAGAAGAAAAAAGAGCACCTTATAATCAGTGAGATACGGTACTTTGTAAACCCTGAAAGGACTTCAAATCAGGAAAGGTTCGGTAAACCCCAAAAAGCTTTATAGACTGGGAGATCTTTTATAAGCCCTAAGGTTCTTTTTAAACTGGAAAATACTTTGTAATTCTAAAGTACCTGGTACACAAGAACAGAATCTGTTAACATGAAGGGCTTTGTTATCTGGGAAATACTTCATCAAACCTAAAGGGCCTCGCCAGCGCTGGGCAGAGGGGAGCTGGAGGCTGGCTCGGCCTCACCTGAACCGCTCACTGGAGGAAAGACCCCAAACACCGGGCGTTGAACGAATGTCCAGGTGCTCAAACCAGACCCAGCTCTCAGAGAGCAAGGGTCAAGGCGGGGTTCTGTGTCACTCAGAGTGTCTGAAGGATGCCGCTTCTGCTTCCAGCAAACCCACTCCCCACCTCCCAGTTTAACAGAGGAGGTGGGGCTGAGGCTCCGAAAGGAGAAGCGGCTCAGCCAACGGAAGGCCCCGCCCCCAGCACGCTCAGGCCCCGCCCC